ATGATGCTCCATGCACCCCAGCATTCACAAGCTGTGCCTGTTAATTCATGGTATGTAGAAAAAACTTCTAAAGCTGTCTATGTCCGAATCGCTGATTCTCTGAATCAGCATCAAATCTTCAGATTTGGATTCAGATTAATCGAATCAGGGACAGTCATCCAAGTCAACAAATCAAATCACTGACCCTGATTTGGGCCAAATCCAAATCAAATAGGCTTTGTACACCCATACTGACTATGATAGCTTTGATAACTGTGGAATAAATGAAAATCATGTGTTTTATGGGCATGGGTAAAAGTGCTGTCATAAAATTTCAAGTGTTCAGGTAAATCCAGACAATGAACTATGAGAGAGATTCTTTTATGCTTATCACCTCCGATTATAACAAAGTAGCAGCGTTCCCTCTAAACTGCATGGAGTGCATGGCCGCACAGGTACACTCATGCCCCATTGCCAAGCGCGCTTGCGCAGCCACACACGCCACGCAGCTTAGAGGAAACGCTGCCAAGTAGACTGACTGTTTATCCTAAGTCCAACTGAGACTTATCTGCCATCTTAACCATATCTATCTGACAAATGGCACCGGGTGGTGATAGAAAATTAAAGAATGTGATTGTTTTAAAACACAGTATGAATATAGAGTTCCCTGGTATTCATTATAGTGATTAGCGGATATATCAGGGGGCTGGAGCGGTGCAGGCACTAAGGTGCATGGTTGACAGCCCAAGAGGTCACAAGTTAAGAGGCCATAGGAGAAGCACTCACAGCACGGCCTGTCAGATTCCAACGAAATCTGCAAATTCTGCTAAATACCTTGTCACAAGGACACAAAAAAGAAAGAAAGTTAATATGTCAACATATTGGTTCATCAGGTTGGTACTTAATAACTAGAAATGTGGCATGATTTAAAAGATTTAATGAGAAACCTTGACAGAATATGACAAGAACCTTTCCACATTAGATTGCAAACCTGGTGAGCTTGCAAAGATGTGAGCCTTTTTGAGGTAGCGTGCCAACAAAGTGGAGTAAAAGCCTTAAGAGAAGACCCCCTCCCTGTCCTGAGATTGAAGGCTGGTGAAAGGGTAAAATGCCCTCGTGCACCTCCGTGGAAGGGACTGAGGTGAGGTGAAATATGAATGTTAGACTTCAGTGGGAGTGTCAACACGAGATACTACATCGCCATAGCGACACACCATGGTGACGTAGCTCATTGCTACCCACATCGCCGTAGTGATGAGCTACCTTGTTATAGCACATTGGTACAACAACATAGCTGCTAAAAATAACTTTGCACTGCCAGGACAGTTGTTACTGTGCCATCATTTACTACTTCCTAACAGGGCTGGCCCACAATTTTTGGGGCCCCCCTACAAGAAATAGTTTTGGGACCCCCTGCCTCAAAGAAGCTGGCAGCAATGGCAGGAAGGGAAGGGGGAGGTGGGCAAGCAGCTGAAGAAGCCAGTGGAGGTGATGGCAGAGGGGGTGGTAGCAAGGGCAGGTGGTGAATGGCTGGACATGAAGCCAGCAGCGGAGGGGGTGGTGGTGAGTGGCCAGACGCCAGAGGCCCCTTAGCTGCAGGGCCCCCTCGACCGCAGGTTTCACAGCACAGGATGGGCCAGCTCTGCTTCCTAAAGCAAGTACTAAATGACAGCATAGTAACAACTGTGCCCAGTGAGTATGAATATAGTGTTGAAGAACAAGAATGATTGATAGCATGGACTAAAGGCCATATACATTTGCATATACTTCCGCAAGACTTCCAAGAAATGCACTTCAGCTGTTACCTGGAGCGCTCTGTTATCTCCCCCTGTACATCCCAGCAAGCCATACCGGCAGAGACTTCCTCGATTTTTTGAGGCACGCTCATTCAACGTTGGTACTCGGCTAGTGATAAGGTAAAGGGAAGTCCACTTTCTTCAGCCTGCTGTCTCACAGTGAAATGTGAAGACATTCTTTATTGTACTTTTAGCACTTAATCCAAGCAAACAGTGACAAAAGACTCGTTCTTTACACAAAAAATGCACCGCCGCGCCATAACTACGCTGAGGCCACGAAATAATTTTCCTTTGAGATGAATGCCGACTGAACCCAACTTGGGAAGTTTGCAGAGTAAACATTACCAGAGGAGAAATAAACACAATCTACTGGCTTGGGCCTCCATAACTCTCAGCTGCTGAAAGAAAATACTTCATAAGAGGAAAAAGGAATGTTTAGATATAATTTGAAGGATGGAAATTTCCTGCTAATGTTTAGGAGATCTCACAATATCTGACCACAGTCATGGACACTGCTTGATATCTACCCCCTCCCCAAAATATGTTCAGGCAGATGGGGAATGAGATTACCAGGATCTGATTTGCAGGAAAAAAAGCCACAAACCTGGATGGATGAGCTAATGTTGTTCCAGATGTATTATCTCATAATCTCCAGGAAGAAAACATTTCAGAGGAAAGGAATAAGGAACATCCCTTTAAAAAAAAAACCTTTTAGTGTGTTTAATCCCATATGCTGCTTAGGAAAAAAAAAAAACCCTCTTTGCCCAAAACTGAAGAAGAACTTTGTCCAAGATAGAGCAAGGATCAAAATATCTACAGAATTCTTCAGCCACTGTGATGCAGAAATAAATAGCAGAGTTTCATGCAAGTTCCCATTAAAGAGAAAGAAAACCAGATGCTCGGTCCCTTTTTAGCTACTTCGTGCTTCTCAGAAAGTGACTTTTGTTCATTGCTTTTATTTGACTCTTATGAAATTATTCCTTCCCCATGAAGGAAAGAAGTTGCTGCTGGGAAACACCCTTTGCAGCACTGGGTCATTATTTGGGCATATGTTTCATTTGTTGAAAATACAAATACAGGTCAACTGAAGCTAGTCATTAATTTGTAATCACATTCATGAAATTATTTCATGCTGCTGAATACAGGCCAAAGAAAAATATATGTTTTTTTTTTAATCTAAACAAGATGTTTTGATTTTTTTTAATGACATCTCATTTAGAAATGTATCTAAATTTATTAACCAAAGTGTTTTGAAAACCCGAAGAAAGACACCTATTTTGTTTCAGATCAGAGGAAACCTTTTGTTCAACTTTTTTTTCCCTAGAAATCCTAGAAAAAATAACCTGTTACTTATACAGTTTTCCCATTAACTAACTCTCTTCTCAGCTAACCCTACTTAAACAACAATGAACAGTTGATGGCCTCACAGATCGGTTTATGGAGTCCGTGGCTGATGATAAAGTAAGCCTTTTAAAGTAAGGAAAGGTTGTCTTTGGGTGATAGCATTGATTGGGCCAACTGCAGAGTTGGGACAGAGTTAGACAAGCTTTTGAATGCAAGACATTCGTCATCAGGTCTGAGCAGTGAAGACCAATGCAGCATGGTCAAAATAACACAAAAAACCCCCCAAAACCCTTCTAATAGGGGGAGAGAAATTCCTTGGGGTAGGAGACAATTAGCAGAAAGAAGAAACTGATGACTGAGAAATCAAGGCCTATCAAAAGTAAAGATGGTTTGTCCCATCTTTCTTATGTGGGGAGAATTCAGGGATCCAGGTAAGTTATAATGAGCCATAAAACCAGTATTCGTGTTAAGTTCTTGGTTCTTATTGCCTGCTGTTGCTTCTAAGAAAACTGTGTGAAGTACAGGGGAATGGCCCATGCATCATCAGAGCCCTAGCTCCACCGGAGAAAAGGAAAAAGCTCTATTTTGCTGAAGGATGCCAAGATGCCACTCTCCTCGGTGAACACCCCAGTTTAGACCGTGCTCCAGGGACTGCTTGGACTACATGTTTTACAAACATCCAGAGGAGGGTGAGTGATTTGATTATCCTATTCCCTGCTGCCAGTGGTACCAGAGGCAAGATTCAGAAGATAATTCCTTCGGGGGGGAAACCCTTTGTGAAATACCAAGTTGCCATTTTAGACAGTTGATATTTCAGTCCTGATCATCCAAGTCCCTCTATGATACTAAGCGGGGTAACCAAGATAGCGGGTTTCCAGAAAATCCAAGAGAAGCAAGCACATGTGGAGGTCCACTGAAGTGTGGGCAGTGGCGATGCGTAGGGGGTGCACGAGGGTGCATGTGCACTCCCTGATCGGCCATGCTCGCTGCTTAGGCAATGGGCAGGGGGGGTGGGCAGGAACACCGGTCCCCGCCGCAAGTGTTGGCCAATTGCTGTAGCTACTCCTAAAAGCAGCCTCAGCCACTCCAGGAAGCAGCTGCAGTGATCAGACGTCACAGGATCAGCCATGGGGGGACCCACCCCTGGGCAGCAAGATCGACCATGGGGGACACCCCCGAGCAGCAGGATCGTGTCCCCGCCGACTAAGGTGACACCAGTCACCCATGAGTGTGGGTCAACTCATGGTCTCAAATAAGATTACTCACTGGCCCCAATTTTTGGCATAGGGCATAGGTGAAGCTCAAACCTCCTTTCTACTTGCACCAGTAATTAAAAGTCCAGGAAAAAAGAGTGGAGTATAGTCAGCGAATGTTTGCATCTGAAAACATGGAGCATAATGAAGATCCTCATCGTTCCTTTGCAATATTTAGCTACATATTTCTGTCTTAGTCTTTCTGCGAAACAGATGTTACATTAAGGAAGCCATTCCATTGACTTGAATGGGCTTTAGATCAGCATCCCCTTATTCCACCTTTTCTTCCCCCCACATTGTTCTGATATATTTAAAATGCTGTACCTCGACCGTGGAAGCCTGAAATGTATGGGGTAACCACTAACTGATCCAAACACCTCTCAGCCTGCAAACTCTTCACTCCTAGTATATCCCACCACCCACGTTGTCCTCAAATATGTGGAGGAAAAAGCAGAACCCAAATGAAGTTGTAAGACCTCTTTACAATTACATCTTCTAATACACTCAGAGTGAAACACGCCCTCATAAGACGATGAACTATGAATAAAAAACTGTAAGAGCTTAAAAATAGTCACCTTCTTCAAAATAGCTGCCATCTCTTTAAACCTGAAAGATCAGTAAAAGCAACCAGGAACTTAATACAATGTCAGGCTTGGTTTTGGGGGGTTTCTTTTGTTTTGTTCTGTTTTTAACAATAGTGATTTTTTTTAGGAGTCTCACTGAGTTAACTGCCTTCTTCTACCCCATCCAGGAGAGCACAAAACAACTGCAGATGCTCCTTTTGCCTGAAGAAGGGTGGTTGTACCCAAAAGCTTGCAAAGAAGAAAATGTCCAACTATTTGAGGTGGTCTAATAAAAGACATCAGATTTACCCCCAAAGAATCTTGTTTGCCTTCAGTGCATAACACATTCAATAACTACTAAGTAGTATAAATATTTACTTAAAAGGGGGGGGGGATAAATTGTGCTTTCCATTCCACATATATAAATACACCATATCTCCACTGACTTCAGGAGGCTTAGTCCATATTTACTGTCATGTAATGGAAAGCAAAATTTGTCCCTAGGTAACCTGTTTGGCAATGCAATTTTAAACCAATGCATCTCTCTATCATTGTTTCTTTACCAATAAAAGGCAGAAACCTCACACAATCCAAAAAAAATAAAATGACAGTTTTAAGGGCTTTTAAAATATCTAATGCTCCAGGTTCTAAATTGGCAGTGAGCCAGTCACTGTCTTAAAGGGACAGGCACTTTATTATACTTTCTAATTCTTCCAAAGTCTGTCTTTAGGATATATGAGCTGGCTCTAATATGACTACTCTATTCTCATCCTCCAGTGGTATACTCTGGTCTCAGCTCATAAATTGAAAATGGAAGATCAGTAAATCAGGGGAGACTGTTTCAGAGGGACATTGTGAATTTCCAGTCAAATCTTCCAGTTTATCTTAAATATTTCATCTTAATGTCACCTTTAGAAAAATCTTTCATTCAAGTAAGTTACAACACCCAGTTCTAAACTGATTACACTTCCCCGCTGACCTTCTGGAGGGAGACTTCCACTTCAGCACAAATGCCAGCTCCGCCGCTCTCTACTACAGCCTAAGAGGGGGGCTTTTTGACACAGCAAAGACTCTTTACACCATTCCACAGTGATTCATAAGCAACACAAGAAAAAAGCCAGTATTAACCACCACAGAGATGCAAACACCTGTCCTGCTTGGCCAGCATCATTTTCTGCAGTGGACCATTTTTGTTTGAAATTCTCAGAGACTGTACATTAGCACAACCAATGTGCTGACATTAGTAGCAGCGTAAAAACACCAGGGCTGAGATTTTCTGGGTTCCCGCTGGATTGCAGCAGTGGAAAACAAGATGCCAGGGAGGTTTACTGAAGAGAGAAATGACAAGAGTAGCACAAAGTGGTTAAAAGTGGCCAGAAAGAGTAACAGAAAATCAATGGAAATCTTCTGTAGCATCGCTGTACTCTCAGTACAGAAAAACTCGGTAGAGGTCTACTGAGGATACCCTCAATAAAGTACAGTATAGCTTCCTTTCTCCAATGAGAAACAACAATTCCTTGCAACACCTGCCTTGGGGTAAATCTTCCCCTGAGGATCAAAGGACCAGACTGCCATAGGGAGTTGCATTTAACTGTGGGCTTCATATGGTGAAATGGATTATAAACGCCAGTTGAAGCATCATTCATTTGAAGCAATGACAATTGCCAACTGTGCTAGACAATGACCTGTGCCTGGCTCTAGTGTGATTCTTCTTTATCCTGCTCCCAAAATAATTGTCAATCTAAAGAACTGCCCAAGCGATGCTTTATTACACAAGTTACTTAGATAGGTCTGCTCCGTCTCTTCTCCCCCCACCTCTTAACCCAGCCCGATTCCTTTGCTGTCTGGCTGGAGATGTTGCTGCTGCTGAGCACTTTCAGCAGAGCTGGGGACAGAATATTTCTGTGGCTGTTTATTTATACAGGGTTATATTCCACGCTTAACTCACCCACTGACAAGACTGATGTTGAATTTTCTTGTATATGATCTTGCATTTAAGAACCTGTCAGTTTAGAGGGTTCTAAATAAACCTCCTCTTAAATATTTAATACTCTTCCAATGGTGTGTGCCATTAGGCTCTGAGCCTGATCCGTCTATCTAATATTTGGGTTTGTTAGGGCACCCGTCACCACAGTATTCCCAGGCCAATTCAATTTGCATGGTGAGCTCTTTGGTGGATTGTAAGGAGTTTTCTTTTCCTTACACCCAAAAATACACACACACACACACACACACACACACACACACACATACATACATGCATACATACAACAGATGCGGACTGGCAACTTTGTATGTTTATAAAATGTTATGATGCTCTAAATAAATAAACCAGGACACATCTGTGGCAAAACTTGAAGGGGCATGACATACTCAAGTGCTCTGTGACGAGCAGTTCAAAGTAAGGCTGGGTCTGGTTTTTGCACCTGTCCCAATTTGCCTCTTCTGATGATAGCAATCATAGTGAAAAGAGAAGAACTTCATGGGAAAGTGCCAGGATTTTGTAGCGATCAGAGTCCGGTCACATTGCCGTGTTGTCACCTGCCATGTTATGACAAGTTCAGCTTTGGAACAATGGTTGGCACAAAATGCAGCAGTGCAATGTGATGAGAGTGAAACAGCATTTTGCATCAACGTAGCTGGAACATTTTTTTCCATGACGCTCAAGTCAGTCCCAAGGCCGCTGTGATCGTTGGGGCACCTTAGCTGTTGTAACAATCCTCCTCCACTCTGCCCTGTTTTTAGCTAGTTTTGTGCACCCTTTCACTTGAAGCCTTATCTGGTCCTTAATGTTGGTTCCCCAGCTCTTCTCTTTCTCTTTCCTTCCACTGCACCCTGCATTATGGTGTTGGCAAGGGTGTCTGGCCTTCTCGTGATGTGTCCAAAGCATTGCAGCTTCCTTCATTGCACAACCTCCAATGACAGTTCCTAGGTTCCCATGTCTTGACTGGTTTGCTGCAATTCTGATTACAATGACAGAAATCTTTGCAATTAGAGCTAACTGAAAAACAAGAAATCTCTTTTTTGAAAAATTTTGAGGTTTTCAAATTTATTCTGTTCTGCACTGGACCACAATAATGGCCTTTTGAAAGGTGTTGGTATAAAGGAGAACCATAAAAAAAATATGGAAATGCCCATTACTTAATTGTAGAACACAAACTTGGAATATAGAAACCCAGGTACGAGCCCAAGCTTTGAATCAGATACAGGCACAACTTGAATATGGCACTATCATGTCCCAGGTACGTGCTCCAAACCCTGGACTTTTGGTTATTGTAGGCACTCAGGGCATGTCTACACCCTGGTGGCAATGGCTCCAAGCAAGCATATGCTCAAGCATACCCAGCCTACCCGCTGTGGCTTGCGCACTCCACACCCAAAAATATAAAATCAAGGCCATTGATTTCACGGTCTCTTGTGCACTTGAAAGAGGCCACAGTAGAACTCCTTAGAACAGCATTTTTGGCTCATTTCTGGGTTTGAAACATGCATGGAATGGGAAGGTATGAAATTCTGGGGGGGTATCTTGGCCAAGACACACTACCACCATGGTGTAGATACATCCTCTCATTTGCATCAAAACTCCATCCTACATGCTGCAAATGTCACAGCAAAAATCTGAACTGAGAGACATTGGCCTCATCCTGTAGACTAGGTGTGTCCAGAGTTAAAGTCCAGTCACAAAGACACATACCACTGGCAGAACTTGATTCTGAAAGTAAGAAGAACTTTCTAGACTCTTGGTGAAAATCTTTCAGAATATATATTTATGTCCAGTTCTAGAGATGGACCTGTCCAGAATAGTTCCTTCATAACAGTCATAGTAGAGTTGCTTCAAAGCAGGATTTACCATCAGGTCAAAATATTAGCTTGGAACATACAAAATGAGAAAAAAATCATTGTATTAACTAGAGCTGCACCAATACATTGGTGCCATATCACATCGGCACCCATATAAGGAAAATTGTCAGTACCAACAATCGGCTTTTTTTGGCTGGTGTGGTCGATAATGTCACCAATAAATACCCTGTGCATGCAAGCAACCACAGTGCAGCACACAGGTGGCCAGAAGCACAGCCCAGCAGTGTGGAGAGCAGCTGGGTCCAACTGGTAAGTCGGTTGTGAGGGAAGGGGTGTGGGGGGGGCAGATCAAGGCCCCCACAATGAGGGAGGGAATGGGGCAAGAGCAGGTGCCGTAGAGCCGGGGTGGGGTATGGGGCAGAGACATGAGCAGCTCATCCAGGGGGTGTGGGGAGGGGGTGGTGACTCCTGCCACTGCATGCACCCTAGGAGGGCATGGGGGCATGTGACCCCAGATCTGTGTGTGGAACAAGGGTGAGGTGTCTCTGCAGGCTGGGACTGGGATGGTGCTGAACTCTTCTGGTGGGGGCGGGGCTGAACTGGGCTGTGCTCAGGGCGAGCAGCCGTGGTGCTGGGGTGGGGGCTATGGCAAATTTTGGAGTGGCTGCAGCCACCCCCATAGCCTCCTTCCCAGCACCACCACTGCCCGCCCCAAGCACAGCCCCAGCCCAATATCCTGATGGGAAGAGCCAGGAATCACCACAACAGCAGCCCACACTCACCCCACGGGCAGATCTGGGGACACATGCCCCCCATGCCCTTCTGGTGTGCACATAGCAGCAGGAGCTGCCCCCTTCTCCCCATGCCCCCTGGATGCGCTGTGGCTCTGTTCCACACCCCACCCTGGCTATGCAGCGCCTGCCCCTACCACACGCCCTTCCTCACCACAAGGGCCTCGATCTACCCCCTTGCCCCTTCCCTCCCCCAGCCCCATCCCCCACAACAGGCTTACCAGCTGGGCACTGCTTTCCAAGCTGCTCAGCTGCATATCGGTAATCAGATCAGTATTACCCAATATGGCTCATTAAAAATCGGTATCAGCCCAAAAAATCTCTGTCGGTGCACCCCTAGTATTAACTATAGCTACAATACCAAGTGAACAAGATGTGTTCTCCTACTTCCCAGCATAACTGCTAGTTTTCTATTTGCTTTTTAGTTGTTGTTTTTTCTATTCTGTATAGACTACAGTCCATGGAGTTTTCCTACAGGGGCTGATAATTATATATCACAAGTCTACCAGTTTCTTTGCTAATCTTCAACTTAACACACAGTGTAAACTCATCCACTATTCCATCACTTCCTAAAAGATGAATGAATAAGCAGAATAGGTAATAATTAATTCCTTCCATTAATTAATCTTACTAGTTTTAGTGCTCAAGGATACGTTGAAG